TAGTCCCATCTATTTATCTTTGCCTTCACTATTGTGGCGTTGGGTGCTCTGTCTTTAAAGATGTTGCTAAAGTGTATGTCGTGAAGTGTTTGACCCATCTTTGCGTTTTTTCCATTTCTTTTTAATGTACCAAATATAACATCCATCATCATGAATGTCTTTGTTCACCATTCTTACTTACATTCACATTCTTCCTGTTTGGCTTCATATTCTTCCTGAAGTGTACCCTTTACTGTTTTCTTTTTTCCCCTTATTATTTGTATGACAAATAACTGTCACATGCTTAATTAAATATGATAACCCTAAGTTTATTCAATAATAGCCATATATCCAAACGAAAATTACAAAAGCATTTTTACATAATTACTTGAAAGTTTCATTTTAGTTTTTAAAAAAAATCAAAGATACTAATTCAGACCTAAGTAAAAATTCAGTCTAGTTCAATAAAGTGACAGCAATCTCGAGATACTAGCTGAAATCTAAGAATTTTTCAAATATACTGTTTAAAAATGGGCATAAATATTTGTCAAAAAAATCTACTATAAAAGAAACAATGTCCAAACAAAGACCTGGTACATAGTAGGTAGTCACTTAATATTTGACAATGCCTGCTAGTAGGCGTTTAATTGTGTATTTTCAACACATGGTACAGAATCTCAGGGCATCTAAGTATGTCATAATTCAGGTGTTTCAATGTGGCAAAAACAGTTGTAGCACATTGATGTGTTGTTGTTTTAAATGCAATACATTAGGACTCAGATTAGTTGCCCTTATAGAATGAACTGCAAGGTGTCAGGCTCATCAGTGTTATAGATACTCTGGAATCCTGAGGAAATCATTTCTGCAAGGTGAGAGAAGACACAATGACACTGCATTTATCTGAAGACCATAATCCTTATGGGAGAGGACTTTATCACCCATGTTGTTGGGCATGGATACTGCTTAAAGTGCTGGGCTTTATCAGTCTGACACATACAGTGGAGAGAATTCTTCTCAAACATTTTATAGTTGATTACACCAACTCATGAGGCAGTCCTTTACCATCAGTGTACCTGTATGCAAAAGCCAAATCCCAACCTCCAGCTTCCTACCATTACCAGCAAGTTTCACTGGAAAAAGAGATCGTGGTTGGACTTCAATGTGCAAGCAATGTTGACTGCCAATTCTATAATAACTGAGTTTACGCGGGGTCTCAATTTAGGACTCAGAAGATTACTGCTTTTAAAAGATTCATAAAACTGAGGCCTTAAGAAAGTTGGTAGAAAAAAGATGATCAGGTGGGCTGACCAATTTAAATTTTTGACTGTTCATAATACAACAATTTTCAAAACTTGGCTCAGGGTCTTTTTTCCAAGACCGTCCCCCCCCAGAACTGGTAATTCCTGCCATAGTTGAGCTTAGACTGTGGTCTTGACTGCTGCTCCGTTTGCAGTTTCTTAAATTGAAATTACTTCTATTTTACTATCATTTTTGGGTGATTGTTTAACTGGGTACAGAATTCCAGGCTAAGTGTCACTTTCTTCTGGCATTTAAGGATTTTAGCCCATTATTTTCTATTGTCAGTAATGGTCACTCTTTTAAGGTAATTTGTCTTGTCTCTTTGGAAACTTTTAAGAACTTTGAGCTCAGCAATTTTACTTCAAAAGATACATCTAGGTTTATAGTAATTTACCTTGTTTGGGATCTTTACTTCTAAAGTTGAGAAGTCTATGCCTTAGAATATTTTAGGGATAACATTTTCTTTGCTACAGAAAAAAGAAGTTGAGTGCATTCTTTCCCATTTTTTCTTTTGGAAGTATTATTAGATGCATGTTATATTTTGACCTTATTTTATTTGGTGTCTCTTAATCTTTTTTTTTTTTTTAAAAGGTTTATTTATTTGGCATACAGAACTGGGGTACAGGCCAGAGGCTCAGGGGTGGTGAGAGGCTTCACCAGAGACAGAGTGGGGAACAGAACAGGCAGATCGACGAAGTACACTGCTGAGGGGAGCAACTGGCGGGTCAGGAGAGGTCTGCTGCGCCATGTGGTCACCTCCGGGGCAGGCGGGAATCGAACTCATGTGGAAGCGGCTTTAGATTCTCAGTGCTGTGCTTTAACCCGCTGCACCACCAGGGAGGGCCTGGTGTCTCTTAATCTTTATGTGCACCATTCTAGGTAAGAACTGTATCTTCCAGTTCCCTAATTCTTTATTCAGCTACATCTAATGTTCTATATAACATAAAACACCTCAATAAAATTTTGGAATTACAGTTTGCATTTTCAAAGCTTCTAATTACATTTTAAGTCCCACCCCAGTCTCTATTTTAGTATTATTTGACCTAATAACTTAAACTTATAGCTTCGGGCAATTTTATTACCTAAGTTCTCTAGGGGTTGAATTCTGATTACTTTACGTGCTTACTAGTTAAGATTTCTTTCAATTTTTTATAATTTTAGGTTATGAGCTCAATTTTTTTTTAAAGATTTATTCATCCATGCTTACAGAACTAGGGTACAGTCCAGAGGCGCAAGGGTGGTGAGGGGATTCACCAGGTCAGAGTGGAGAGCAAAACAGAGTGGAGAGAGAAACACACTGCTGAGGGGAGCAGCAGGCGAGACAGAAGAGGTCTGCTGGGCCATGTGGATCATCTCCTAGGTGGGGATCGAACTTGCACAAAGTGGCAGCAGCCAGGTTTGCAGTGCTGCGTTTTAACCCACTGCACCACCAGGGAGGGCCCAGTCATGAACTCATCCTAGTAGGGTTTATTACTCATCTCCCCCTACCCGCCCCCAAACTCATTAACTGTTCATTTAATAGAGTCCAAATTTCTTAACATGTTAAGGTCCTATATAATCTGGGTCCTGTTTACTTTTAATTGCTAATGCTCCTTTTTTTTCCAGCACCATAAATTCCCAATTCCTAGAATAGGTAAACCTCTTTCATATATAATCTACCTTTGATTAGTTCTCTCAACTTAAGAAATCTTTCTGCCTTGTAAAACCACTCCCTGCCCCCTATCTCACAAAATTTATATGATGGGTAGTTATCCAAATCGCATTTTTAATGAAGTTTTTCCTACTTACTATACTCTATACTAGTATAGAATTACTATATATATTGTTCATGTTTCAAAGATAGCATTTTGAAATGCTTTTCTGTCTCCCTTTCCTACCCTCTTGCTACTGATTTTGGTCAATTTTACCACAGAGGTGCTTCTCACTCCAGATATGAAATCACCTAAATTATTTGAACAGCTTCTTATCAATTATTTGTACTACTCTCTGCTCTCATTCATTAAAACAAGTAATTGGGCCCTCCCTGGTGGCACATCAGGTTAAAAAATGATGCTATGAAGCTGCCTGCAGCCACTGTAATGCAAGTTCAATTCCCAGCCTGGGAGGTGACCCACATGGTGTGGCAGACCTCTCTGATCTGACCCGCCTGCTGCTCCCCTCAGCAGTGTACTTCACTCTACCTGTCTGTTCTGCTCTCTGCTCTGTCTCTAGTGAATCCTCTTCCCCCCTTACCCCTGCATGCCTCTCGCCTGTACCCCAGTTCTTGTATACATACATAAATAAATCTTTACAAAAAAAAAAAAAAAAGCCCAAGTAATTATTGAGCGCCTACTTCTGTATTGTCACTTTATTAGGCCCTGGGAACAAAAGAAGTAGTGATAGGTGGGCTATATATCCATAAGGTGGAATTCTAGCAGGATAAATGCTATAACAGAGGTCAGTAAAGGGACACCACAGAGGCCCTCCCTTTGTGGTGCAGAGGGCTGGAGCATTACGAAGCTGGCTGCTTCAGTGCGAGTTCTATCTGTGGCCCTGGAGGTAACCCACATGGCGCAGCAGACCTCTCCTGTCTTGCCCACCGCTCCTCTCAGCAGTGTTGATCTGCTCCTCACTCAGTTTCTGGTGAATCCTTTCACTGCCCCTGCACCTCTGGCCTGTACCCCAGTATTGTATACATAAATAAGTAAAATCTTTAAAAAAAAAAAAGAAAAAAGATATAATCTGCTCTTGGAGTTTGAAGAGAAGGTAGTCAGAGAAGGTTTCTATGAGGAGAGGAGGCCTAAAGTATATGCAGGAATTATGCAAAATATAAAAACAATGTACTTGAGGCAAATGGGCAAACAGACACACAAGGAATAAAACAAAAGCCCAGAGTTAGGAAGCTGGGAAGGCAACCATAAAGTAGTTCAAGTCTTAAAAATCTACAGTCTTTCTTTATATTGCTATTAAAGTTAATTACCTAAAAGTAAATGTAGAAATAAGAGCATTTTGTGTAAAAGGTAACTCTAAATTCTGCTTCAGCATAGCAAAATGGGTCCTTCATAATCTGGCTTGAATCTCTTAACACTGTATTTCCTATATAAATAACATGTTCCTTTATACAGCTAGCTTTGCACAGCACCATTTGCACTTGTTTGTCAATATTACACATACAAGGGAATACTCACCTGTAGGATGGGCGCCGTGCTAGGATCCCGTGGGTTTTCTGCGAGGAGCCTATACTGTCAGATGAGTCCTGAGATTCCTCACTTTCTGATAAAGATGATACCTAAAAAACAGAACCAGATTTAATAAGATGAACAATGAAGGTGGGAAAATAACTTATTACTCAGAGATAATATCCTACTGCCCAAAGTCATTTGTCATTAAAGGTAAGGTATAAAAGAAGGAAACAAAAAGAAAATGAGAAAATTTATTTGAGGAGCCCAAACTATATTATAGACTAAGCACTAAGAAGAAAGTCTAGTTCTTAAGTAAAACACTAGTGGTGTAAAGACTAGTGTCTGGTTTCTATTATTTCTGTACTGGTGTACATCATTCACTTAAAAAGATTCATGAGGCCCTCCCTGGTGGCGCAGTGGGTTAAAGCACAGCACTAAGAACCTTAAGTCACTTCCGCATGAGTTCGATCCCCGCCTGCCCTGGAGGTGACCACATGGCGCGTCAGACCTCTCCTGACCTACCCGCTGCTCCCCTCAGCAGTGTGCTTCACTGATCTGCCTGTTCTGCTCCCCACTCTGTCTCTGGTGAAGCCTCTCACCCTTCGCATCTCTGGCCTGTACCTCAGCAATATATGAATAAATAAATAAATCTAAAAAAAAAAAAAAGATTCATGAATACTATCCAATTTGGACTTGGGACAAACTAAATTTGAAATACTACTAGATACCCAACAGTTAATTATTAGATAATGATATTGAGGGCACTGCTGAATATTACAGTAAGAGGTATAAATTTGAGAGTCCTATCTCTTTCGATACTTCTTAAAGTTGTGAGGTTGAATGAACTCACTGTTGAGTAAATACAGAAAAGAAGCCAAAGGTTAAAACCCAGGAATACTCTTACATTAAAAGGTCAAGGAGAGGATAAGCAAATGAGTCTGAGAAGGAGGTAACAGGTAGTAGGAATTTCAAAAGAGGGGTCCCAGAAAAAGTAGTAAAGACAGTGTACTGAGGAGAAAGTATGATCAGCATGTCAACTGTTGTTAATGGGGGGAGTAAAACAAGGACTGAGATATTCTGTTAGATACAGCAAGGTGGAGGTTACTAGCAAGGGTAGGTATAGACATACACAACTTAAAAACCTATAGAATTTTATCTCACTTCACAATTAAGCAAGTTAATATATTTAAAGCAGTGCATGGCATATGGCAAGTACATTAAATGTTTATATTAAGCTTCTTAAAATTGTGTCAACACAATAACCATATGCAAGTTTTATTATAACATCTTACAAAAGAGAAAACATGTTATTTTCAATTAAAAAAATGTATTATATTTCCCACATTTGTCCAAAGTTACATTGTGACACCTGATTTTTGTTACTATCTACAAAAATCCTTCCCCTAAACTATTTATTAGACTTAGATTTTAAATTTCTGTAATTGCCTTCAAAAAACTAGTGTTAATGTACATCTATTCATTTACACCTTACATTAAATCTATACCTTTTAATGGAAAAGGTCAGAATTTTATAATTAATACACAACTAATAATAACTTAAAAAAACTTATGATTATGTTTCCTCAAGCATGTATATTCCATTTTTATTGTAAACCTTCAACTGTTTTCACTATCTCTACATTTACTCCAAAGCCTCTATTAAACTCACATTAAGAAAATAATTAAAACTGAGATTACTTAGACAGCTAAGACCAAGTATTTCTTCTTAATGACAGCACCAACAAGCAAGCATAAAGCTTTCTTATAAAACCTAAGAAACCCACACAGCAATCACTTTTCACTTAAAGATGCATTCTAGGGTAACAACACTGCTAGACATTGTATATTCACCAGGTAAAGATTATTCAGTGTTTCTTCAAGGATAGCTGCTTCAAAACTGAAAACTGGCCAATGGCATTCTGAGACTCCTGGGAATCAGAAGATAAAATGGGAAGAAAGCGCAGGAAGAAAAAAAACTCAGATGACTCTTTCCTTCCTACCATTAACACAAAGACACACAGATATAAGTAAGAGCTTTACTATGAAGGAATGTTTTTGAGTGCTATAAAGCATAAGCAGGTACTTTCTTACTTTGCTAAGATGCTTACATCCTTGACCCTCAGTTCAGAACTCATTTTTTTTTTTTCATGACGGGTATCACTGAACAAAAAGGCTTTCTCTTAAGCAAGTATTTTATTTCCTTAAGTTCTGAGCAGTAATTTCCCCCAAAATGTATTATGCTATTTTCACTGGACAGTATTTACATGAAACTGAGATTCTGTAAAACTGTATTTGCGTCACTTGTTTTATAGTTTCAAAGACAACTTTACTTTCTTTTTTCTAGGATAAGTACAACAACTTAAATGTGTCCAAAAATTCAGTATGGATTTCTGCACTGTATGCTTGTTGTAGTGGCTGAATCACAGAAGACTGAGCTGCCTGGATGACCCATGCACCTGCACTTGCTCTTCGGGAAGAGGTACAGTTGTTGCTGGTGCAGATCCTCTGCGCTGCATCTCAGCACATATGAAACTTCAGTTATGAAAGTACTCAGTGTCCAAATACGGGAGCTAAGTTCTAAGCCTGGAAGACACATTTCAGGGCTTATTTAACCACATCTTAAAAGCAAACATTACTTAATCTTGTATAAGCCAGAGAGTGAAATTACATCTGATTAAAACAAACAGACTAGGAAGCTACAACAGATGAACAGTAGGGAAGTCTTATACTGTGGAAGCAAAGAAATGGTGCTATTTCAGTTGGGGCTTGAAAGATAAAACAATTCTCTGAAGGTGAAGATTGGAAGGTATGTTAAGGGAAATTGTACAAAAACATGGAGGCTCTTTAGAACAAATTATTCTGAAGAGATCTGATTGGCACCCAATCAAGAATCAAGAGTCAAAAAGTAAAAGAAATCAAGTCTGGACAGACCTTTAAAGCAAAACCAAGTATATAAAATAAGTCACTAAATCATGAAATTATAATTTATTTCCTTGGAAATCAATAAAATTTCATTGAAAACACTACAGTAAAATGCTAAACCAAGTAAAGCCAATTACCATACTTCAAAGGCCACCTCACGTTCCACTTCTTACAAGAAGCATTGTTAGATATTTTAAGTTAACCATCAAAACCCCTTATTTTCAAACCCCAACTGATACCAACTGCTCAAAATAAAGGAAAGCTTGTAGTGGGAATACTTTACATTTCTAAAAGGATAAGAGCAATAATTCCTCTAGGATTTCTGGCAATCCTTGTGCTTTTGTGAAGACTGAGGGGCTGGCAGGTGAAAATGGAAAAAGGCATCAGATTTTGTTTAGCTAATAGTCATTCTCCCTTGTCACTGTTCTAACCTTATGAAATGCTCATTACTTGGGCTTCTATAGGCTGGGACCTTCCATTCTCCACTCTTCCAACTTGCTAATCTAAATCCTGAAATCTGTCTCAAAGGAGGAAAAGGAGTGTGCCCCCCAATTTTAACAGGTTTGGGCTGATATTTCAGGTAAAGGCACCTACTAGTTCTCTATTACTATGAAATTACTTAACCTCTCAGGACATCAATTTCCTGTTTTGTAAAAATAGTATTTTTTAACAGTTGTAGAAAGAGATGAAATGAATTATAAGGTTAAAAGCAAAAGGGAGGTAAAAAGACGGTGCCTACAAATATGCCTCTGCTTTACATCCTGGTTCAACTAACTGCTTAAAAATATGTGTCTGTGTCCACACACACTGTGAATAACAGTCAGGAAAAAAAAAAAAGTTTACTGAATGGCTATTTAGTGATATGGGAAATAATTTTGGTTTTTGTGTAGTAATACTGCGGTCTCATTGTTTGAAGGAGTCCTAAAGAGGTTATCTGGGTTCACTTCGGTATAACATAACTGGTTGGGGAGCCAAGGGAAGGTGGGGATAAGAAGTTCTGAATGAAATATGAGTTAATTGAAACTGGGTGATGCCGACTATAATGTTCAACCTATTTTTCTCTTTCTCTGAATATGTTAAAAATTTCCATCGGTGTTTTTGAAAACCTAGTATAATAGTGAACATGTGAGTGGTTGGTCCTGTGTGGTGGCAGAGCCCGATGCTTTTTAAAGGTTATTTTATCACTTCTGGAGTCAATCAAGGAGCTTTACCATCTCTCAACTTCAGATGTCTTTATAACTGAATTTTAACACACCTTTTAAAAAGAACTAATACCCAAGTTGCTCAAATTGTTTATAAAAATAAGGAATTACTACTAATACATTTTACAATGTCAACATCCTAAAATTAAAAACAGATAAAGACAGCACAAGAAAATTACAGACCAATGACCCTGATCAATGATATAAAAAATTTCAGTGAAACACTAGCACATCAAGTTCAATAAATCACAAGCATTAGACATTATGATCTTAGTTGCATTTACCCCAGGAATGTAAGGATGGTGTAATTTATATGAGGCAATCAATGTAACAGCCATGCTAACAAAAGTAAAGATTAAAATTGTGTAACACAGCAATAGATGTAGAGAGAATTTGAGAAGGTTCAGTACTTGTTTATGACAACTCTAAAGAAGATACAGATACATGGAAACTACTTCAACATAATAAAGGTGATCTATTATTAACCAACAGTTAATATAACACTTAATGGATTCAGATACCTCAGCATTAACACAACTAAGGAGTTGAAAGACCTATACAACAAGAACAACAAGATGTCGTTAAGTACCTTGGTGCCATAAAGAGATCTCTTGCTCATGGATGGGGAGAATCCATCTAAATCAAAATGACTATCTTGTCTAAAATTATACATGAACTTAATGCACCCACCATCAAAATGCCAATATTTTCTTAAAGAAACTGAACATAAATTATTAAAATGTATATGGGACCATAAAAGGCCACTAATAGCAAAAAAAGCCTTGAGAAAGGAGTGAAATGCAGGTGCCAATTTACCTTATTAAAACAATTCTCATAGCGGCATAAAAATGGATGTATGGGTCAATGACACAGGACCAAAAGCCCAGAAGTAAATTAACACCTGTATCTACTACAAAGCAACTATGGCCATACAAAGTAGAAAGGAAGGCCTCTTTGAGAAACTGGAAGGCTGTATTTAAGAG